TACATATAGTTTTTTCTTTACTTTATTAATAAAATATATTTTAAAAATAATTTTTTCGTAAATCAACAGAATCAGCCAATGCGACCACTTCAGCCAAATCAGCCGATTTTCGTGTTACCAAACGGGCTCATAATATTTAAACATGTGATTTTGTCTCCTAAAAATTACCAATCCCACATTTTTATTCACTATCAATATTTTGATAATATATTTGCAGTTATTCGAGGGTTTTCTTTAAGTTACTGAAATTTATACAGAGTGTAACTCATGAACAAAAATATTCCTATAATTACTATGTGTATTGATTTTAATGTAGAGGTTAACATAAACATGGTCACTAAATTAAAGTTAATTACTATGATAATTATTAAAATATACTCGTAAAAAGTCACATTTTTATACGATCATTAATTTTATTTTGATCATATATTTGTCATTATATACTGGAGACAATTACTCGAGCTACAAAAAATACTCATATTATTGAAGCATATGTCACTATAACAACTAAGTGGATCAGCAGCAAAGTGCATTTGGCTTTTCAAATTACTAGTATGTGTACCCGTGCACTACACAGTAGAATATCTGCGTAAAGTTTTTCTTAAAATCACAGGACTGTGAATTGTATGTGAATTCGTCAATCAGTGTTTGAAAGAAAATTTAATTAAACTATGGATAAAGTTGTCAAAATAAGTCAAAATCCACAGGGCTGGCTCATTTCATCTCATGTCATGATGGGTTAGAGTTATCGTTTCTTATCCCGATGAACTCGTCGATTTCGTGGGTCAACCTGCAAGGGTTGCAGGTTAAATGGGTTAGCACATGCATGTTGTGAGTTGTCCAAAATACAAATATCTATTTTTAAATTTCATTGTCTTCAATATTGATTCTTTACCACTTGTTGAGGTTAATCCATCGCGGTCCAAAACCCAACACAGTTGTTTGGGCTTTCATGGGATCTTTTTACGGAGTATTAATTATGAAGACAACATGAAGGCAAAAGCAATAGCAAGAAAGGATGAGAGGTAAAGTGGGTCAAGTTCTATTGTATACTTACCGAGCCCGAATCTCGACCCCTTGTTCTACACTGAGTTATTATAGAAGGGCTAGAGAGAACTCTTAACTACTGTGTGCACGTTTGTCAACCCTTTACAATGAAACAAATGCGAGTATTTATACTACAATGTAGTAGGCGAAGGTGATCTGAGGATGTGTTGAGCCCTCACTGGAGAGGCCCCAACCATAAAATTCTCCACATCTAGTGCACTAAATGCGCTTCCCATCAAATCTAGCCTTCCCACCGACTGCTTTGGAGAGCTCTCCCACATACAACCAGCACTGTCCGAGAAAACACCAACTATAAGAATATCATCGAACGACGGATCTTGTGCGGAAATTGGGCCTGTGTGCTAGTTGGGCTGCCTGGGGGTATTTGGGATCTGAACCCAATACTACAACACTACCAAAATTATTTTCAAATATACTTATTATTTTACAACCTTTTTTGAACTATTATTTGTATAATAATTATTCAAGTAAATTATTCCAACATATTTGTATGTTATAGTGGATTTTGTTTTTATAAATAATAATCATTGTTCACAAATATTTACTCAAACGATCCAATTGAATCTTTATTTTTGTACGATAAGTGCTTTTGCTATATATCATTAATAATTATCAAAATTTGATATAACAAGGATTCAATAATATTTTTAATTAAACTTATCATGTATTTATAATTAAAACAACGTACACATGACAGTACAGGAGGTTATATATAACATAACATAACATAACATAACATAACATAACATAACATAACATAACATAACATAACATAACATAACATAACATAACATAACATAACATAACATAACATAACATAACATAACATAATATAATATAACATAATATAACATAATATAATATAACATAACATAACATAACATAATATAATATAATATAATATAATATAATATAATATAATATAATATAATATAATATAATATAATATAATATAATATAATATAATATAATATAATATAATATAATATAATATAATATAATATAATATAATATAATATAATATAATATAATATAATATAATATAATATAATATAATATAATATAATATAATATAATATAATATAATATAATATAATATAATATAATATAATATAATATAATATAATATAATATAATATAATATAATATAATATAATATAATATAATATAATATAATATAATATAATATAATATAATATAATATAATATAATATAATATAATATAATATAATATAATTTTGGAATACATAAGAGTGGAGTTTTGAAAGTTGGACAATTATTTATTTATTGTGATGGCACATGTCATTTTATCCTACAAAGATGTTGTCACATGTCAATAATTCATCCAAAGAGTTATTCAAGGGTTGCTGACAAGAAAGGATGACAGATAAAGTGGGACAAGTTCTATTACGGACTTATCGACTCCGAATCTCGACCCCTTGTTCTACATTGAGCTATTACATACTGAAGAGCTAGAGAGAAGTCTAAACTATAGTGTGTATGTTTGCCAATTCTTTATAATGAAATAAATGTGAGTATTTATATGTGTAGATGATGATGTATAATAGGTGTAGATGATGATGTGTTGAGCCGCAGTGGATAATCTCCCAACCATAAAATTCCCCCACATCTAGTACACTACATGCCCTTCCCATTAATTCTAGTCTTCCCGTTGGCTGCTTTGTTGAGATCTCTCACATACAACCAGCACGTACTATATATCCGAGAAAATACCAAGTATCAGAATATTACTGACCCGTAGATCCCATGCGCAAATTGGACCTGCGTGCTAGTTGGGCCGCCTGGGGGTATTTGGGCTGGGACCCAATACCCGAACACTACCAAAATGATTTTCAAATAAACTTACTATTTTACAACCTTTTTGAAGTATTATTTCTATAATAATATTTCAAATAAGTTACTCCAACATATTTTTATGTTATAATTGAAAATATTTTTTAACACTTAATAATCATTGTTCACAAATATTGACTCAAAAGATCATTCGGAGCACGATACTTCGGGTGACTATGAGAAAATCAGCATCTCCAAACTCATTTTTAACTATGAAGTTCAGAGAGCCTTCGGCGAGAAGCTACAACTAATATCATGTGAAAAACAACCACAAACCCCACTCCTTCAGGCGTACTCTGATGCATCAGACAGTTATGATCAGTCTGATGACTCTTTCTTCTCAGACGATTTCCTAGGACATGCAACCGAAAGTGATCGTCGACCTCCATTATCAAACAAGGAAGAAATTAGGAAATCCAAGTTTAATAGAACGATTTGCCGAAAAACAAACATGGTCACCTCCGAAAACTGCCTACCAACAGAAAACCTGAACACCCAACTCAAAATATACAGGAAATCTCAGAAGAATAAGAGGCGTCATAGCATGAGGACCAGATCACAGTCCAGAGATTTCCCTTGGGTCTAGCTTTTTATCTGTTTTTATTTTACCTTTCCTTTCTGTTCTTTTTTCTTTTATTTATGTTTTTGCATTGTAATTTTAGAGAAATTGCCCAATATAGGAGTAAACATAAACATAATTGCACAAATAGGAGTGAAACTTAAAACTTCGTTCAATAGGAGTAAACATTAATTTTGTACCCTTAATACCCCTAACCTAGTTAATTCTAAAATATGACTTATTTGATCCTAATAAAATATAAATAAAAAATCTAAAATATTTGAAAATATATATTTGAAATAATAAAAATTAAAAAAAAAATTCTAAAAAATAAAAAATTTTAAAAATAAAAAAAATAGATAAACCACATTAAAAAATATAAAAAAATTATGCAGGCCTTTGCCGCAACCTCGGCCATCACCCAGCAATGTCACCTCCGATCGGCGGAAAAAATGCCATTTTATGTTAAAACTTCCATTTTTTTCTTTGAAAATGCCATAAAGATGGCAGTTTTGCTCTTTGAAAATGCCAAATTTTCTCAAAATCTGCCATCATGATGGCATTTCGAAAAAATGTTGGCATTTTTTTTTGGTGGTCGGAGCTAGTGGTGCTGGAAGGTTGTTGAGGCGGCGGCGGCCGCCTACATATTTTTTTTAGTTTTTTATTTTTTTATTTTAATTTTTTAGTTTTTTATTTAATATTTTTTATTTTGATAATTTTTATTTTTATTAATTTTATTTAATACGAAGTATGTTTTATTTGATATATTTTGTGTTTTTTCATTTTTTTTTACAATTTTATTATAAATTAATGTTATTCCTTTTATGTTTTAATTATTAATGAAAGTTGTTGGGGCTTGGGTAGGGATATACTTGTCTAAACACTAAAGTTACTCCTATTCAAAACATGGTACTCCTATTTTTGCATTTTGCCTATCTTTTACTCCTATTTGGGGAATTCTCTCGTAATTTTATTTTACTCTATGAATAAAATTCGTTTAAAAAAAATGACTCAAAAGATCTAATTGTATCTTTACTTTTGTATAATAAGAGCTTTTGCTAGATACCATTTAATAGTTATCAAATTTAATATAAAATTGTTTTAATATTATTAATTAAACTTATCAAGTATTTTTAATCAAAACAACACATGACAATCGAGTAGACTATATATATATTATAATATAATACTATGTATTGGAATACATGAGAGTGGCGTGTTGGAAGTTGGATAACTTTTAATTTATGGTGTTGCCACATGTCATTTTTCCTACAAATGAAGTTGCCACATGTCAATATATGCTCCAAAGAGTTCTTCAAGGGTTGACTTTATTATACGGAGTATTATATAAATATAAATATAGATATAGATTGGTTTTGTATCGGAGTATTTCATCTCACTCTACTGCAAAGTGCAAACACAGTCCTAGAGATGACCTGAAAGCAAATTTGGGACTAATAATTTGGGTTTTCGGTCAAGAACAAACCCATATAATTAAACCAAAAATGTAGGCATTGCATTATACTCTGTACGTATTTTCCATCTTTAGTTGATGCAACAAATTAAATACTCCATATGTTTAATTGGCGAAAATGCCATTTATAATACTAATAATAAGCATGAAAAGAAACTTACTGGCTAAGCTAGAGGGCAATAATTGCCTTGTGGACTTTTGGCATAAATATAATATACTACGTAGTTACGATTGCATCTAGAGAATTGAATTGGAGTTAACAAGTACCTAAAAGCTAGAACAAATATGAAAAAAATATGAAAAAGTACCTAAAAGCTAGAACAAATATGAAAAACAGCAATAATGGAGTTGAAAAGGTTGGGGTCCCTTTTGCTTTGTCCCGCTGCTCCACTTCCCTTTTAACATGAAGATTAAAGCCACCATTTTATAAAGACAACTGAACACCCATATTGAGGATGGTTCAGCAGAATATGCAGGGATCTCTCTCCATCAGCTCCTTTGATTGATCAACACTTAGCTTAGCTTGGATATTATAAGCCTCTTTTTCCAAAGACCAACTTTTATTTGCCCTTTCCAGCACTCAAATGCCACCTTTTCTGCCCTTCAAAGCTTGCCAAATATTATATTCAAACTCTCTCTTTTAATTTTCCACGTACATCCCTCTCCACTTTGTTGTCAGCAGCTCATTAGCTTTTCTTTCTTTTCTTCCCATATGATCATATCCACTATTAACCGATGAAGGGTTGCAGACTGATGACTGTACTCCAACTCCCAAGAAATCCCTAGTTTGCCCTCCTCCTCCTGTGCTATCTTCATTCTGTATGTACCTGCGCTTAGAGGGGTACATCTGGGCTTGGTCCCAAGCTGAGAAAACATTATTCACTGAGCTCTCCATATCATTATGATGACCATTGACAACTGATGAGGCTGCTTCATATGATAATACTCCTGCTGAAAACTTACTGGCATAATGTTGATGATGAATAACATGATTGCTGTCAAACTTTAAACCTAGGCTTCCTAGGAACAATGAAGGGTCAGTACTTGTGGTGGATCCAACTTGAGAAGCCTTCTGTAGCAAAGCGGTTGCCGACATGTTTGTCGTGACGGGCTGCGTTTGGCAAGAGGACGATGACCGGTTATGGAACTTGTTCCTAAACAAGGATGGCAAAGTGACTACCTGAGCCTGCATGTGATTCACATTCTCCTTGATAATCACATTTCCTTCCAACTCCTCATCCTCATCATCAGCATTGTTATGATTAGTATTGTTTGAGGAATCAACCTTGTACCCAATGAGATCCCAATTCATTTGGAATCTGGATTCAGGATTAGGGTCTGAGCAGGAAGTGACAATACTATGAGGATCAGAACAAAATGATTGGAATTCTTGATGGAGGTTGCTAGAACTATTAGGAAACATAAATGATGATGATCTTTCTTGTCCTTGAGATGGTTCCTTACTCATCCATAGTGGAAGAAGCTGCTCTTTCCCTTGCATTATTTGGTTCATATTTTCCTCAATATTGCTAATTATTGATGGCCTGAGAATTAAGTTGTAGTTCATGTTTTGAACATGGGAAGCTGCAGATAGTCTTGCTGTCTCCTCTGCTAATGCATCACAAAACGCCCTATGCGTTATGAAGCTATCCTTCCTGCCCAACATAACCATTACACCAAAAATAAATACATACTAGTACATTTCAAGAAAAAATTATGCTAAAGATAATCTACCTCACAACATCAAATAAATACGAAGTACTACTGTACTAGTATAAGATATTAACCGACTTTTAGTATGAAACCCTAAAATTTAACACAGCCTCAATACCAATCTTAAAGTTTACGTGTTCATTTTTTAGTTTAAAAAGAGGTAGATTCTATGGTACCCATAAGGTACCATAACTTTGTCCACATGGACCAATGAGAATGTAGCAGTTGAATTATTTAAATCTAAATTAAAAATGATAAAGTGATGTGGTCCAATCAAATGAATGATAGGTACGATACCTCATATTTTAGAAAGGTATCAGAGTTGTCACCTTAAAAAGAACTTAATTTCCCCATTACAGCCTTATTTGGTTTTGACAAATATTACAATTTAGAGTTCCATTCTAAAAGGTAAATCTTAATATCTTCATTTATGGGGTAAAAGACATAAATCATATTTTAACTATTGGTATTGTTGCATATTAGCACCTTAACTATTAGAAGAGATAAACCAGTAGCATAAATGTACGTAAATGATTTAAAGGATAATACTACTCAAATTTTCGGTTAAAAATTTCAACGTGGCGACTAAAATTTAATGCATACTATCGAATGTACTGTGATAACATAGAGAAAATTAAAGTAATATAAAGTGCATTATAGTAATATAGGCATGAAATTCTTGCCACCACATAGAAATGCCTTAACACACATGATACTATATAGAAATAAACAAATGGAACAAATACGTAGTACTCCATATGTCTCACAATTAAGTTGGCAGTTACAATTTTTGAGTTAAACTCTGTTAATTTTAACTATTATATATTTATTCAAAAACGGTATTAGATTATACTTTATAATACCCAAATAATTTTGAATAATGCATTTAAAAATATTATTGAAATGTTAGTTTATTGTAGGTTTTATGACTCCATACTTTTATATATCATCAATGGTCAAACGTCAATGTTAGAGACCGTGAAAGTCTAATAGTCAACTTAATTGATGGACAGATGGACAGAAATGTGTAAGAATAGACGTAGTACGTAATATAAGAAATGTGATAAATCACAAATTCTTTGTAAAAAGGGAGGTCGAAAATTATTTTAGGATAAAGGAAATAGAATGTTGAGAAATAATTAGTTACCTAGTGAAAAGAGCACCACAGTGACATCTGTATTCCTTAGTCCCACAAGTCTTGGAATGGGCTTTCCAATCAGATAGCACAGCATAGCGCTTTGAGCATTTTTCGCATTTCCACTTCTTCTCGCCGTGCTTCCGGAAGTAGTGCTTCTTGATTCCGGTGAGGTCGCCGAGAGCCCGGGACGGGTGGTGGTGGACGCAACTCATTTCCGGGCAGACGAACACCCGCTTCCTCACTTCTTTGCTGCTCCTTTGCTTTAGCTTCCATGGCAGATTGTGCCCTCTTCTGTGAAGCTGCATATTTTGGTCTCTCTGGAACCCTTTCCCACACACTTCACAGACAAACCTGTTTGTTGCCATCAGAGTCTTTGGCGATAGAGCGATCACTTCAGCTCCTGGATCTAATAAAAGAAGAAGGAATAACAAACAAGAGACAATCAAATGAACATATTATGTATTGATTATTTGAGAGATATAGGCTAGGGAGCTAGAGTTAATGTATTCTTGCCTGGGTTTCCGGGAAGATTTCGTTTTTTCTTATTAGGAGGAGAATTATTGGATCCTGTTGCGCTTTGACTGAGACCATTCATGGTCATAGGGAGGACGACTTCTTTCTCTGTCATCTTTGATTTGGATTATTCTTCAGTTCAGCTGCAAGACTGTCATATATTTAGGGATGAGCTAGCTTGATGATATACTGTATATATACTGTCACTTTACATATACGTAGTACTACCAAGTAAAAAGCTGCGAAAGTTCCCAAAATAGGACTAAAACAGTTTGAAAATTCCAAAATAGGACTGCCATGTTTTTTATTTCCAAAATAACAGTAATTACTGCCAAGTTTAGAAAATACCGTCATGTTTGAAATCTGGTATTGCCAAAACATGGCAGTAATTAGTCCTATTTTGGGAATAAAAACATGACAGTCCTATTTTGAAATTTTCAAACCTATTTAGTCCTATTTAGGGTAATACTACGTATCTCGTAAAAAGCACTATACAAGTACTCCTCCCTCCCGAAAAGGTTGACCAAATTTGACATTCACGTGGATTATTATAAAGTAAAAACTGTGTGGTTGAAATTTGTGCAAAGGAGAGAAAATTAACTTTAGCCACACATTTTTTACTTTAAATGAAAATGGCAAATCTTTTTGGAACATCCAAAATAAGGAAATTTGGCCAAACTTTTTGGGACAGAGGGAGTATATTTCAAGAATGCAAATTTTGGGGTAAAACACAATACTGTGTTGGAAGATACCTTCTGCTTATGATGATGCTTGGTGTACACATTTTGTGTACACAAAATGTGTACACCTAGCAAAACTCTTTGAAATTTGATGGTGTAGTTGAAATTCTGGTCTCTCGCTACTAATTAGTACTTACATGGAAAATTCTTTTTTTAAGAAATAACTTAATTATTATTGATAAAAACAACAAGGACAATTACAATCATATAGCTCAAGGCTACAATGAGATGAGACATAGAAATGAACGTTTCAAATTGAAAACACCAATCGCTAATCCCGCAAAGAAGTAGACTCATCACTAGGAAATTGATCTTTTGAGGCACATGTGTAACGGCGCATTTACGAAAAGTGTCTGTTCCTTCTTTTTTGAACGAAAAAGTGTCTGTTCCATATATGCTTTTTTCCGATTAGAAGCACTTGTACTAAAAGCGCTCCTACTCTTACCGGGCACAGGGCACTTATATCTGGCCGATGTTAAAAATATCCCGACAGACCTAACTTAAAACTAGCTAAGTACTCTTAACGAGACTACCTTCGTCCCAAATAGATCGACTGATCGACGCTAACCTCTGGCCGCTCGCTTCTCCTCCCATGTTCGAGTCGATGCAACGCCGCCGGCTCACTGCCCGCCGTTGCTCCGTGCCTCTGTCGCGGATTCATAGCAATGCAGTTCCCAGGATTTCCATCGGCACCGGCACAGCGCCTCCAACCCTTCACGGTACAGCTCCATGCCACCTCTCCTAGGATTAGCCTCAGCTCTTCATTCACAAACCACAACCTGAATTTTGTAAACCTAATCTGAAATTCATAAAGGTATTTACCAATTCCAATTTTCACCATTTTCCTTTCGCTTATACCTGAAATTACTTCTCCCCCAAACTGAATGTTGAATGTTAGATCCCAATTCCTAAATTGAAATTATAATTTTTCCTTATTTTGAAGTCAGACTTTTATATTGTAATCCTAAATGTGATGATGTCATTGTCAAAGGTATGAACTAACTAATCTTGTATATTGTATACTTGTATACTGAGTCGTTTTAAGTATCAGCACTAACTAATCTATTTTCTTTATTGCAGACTTGATGGGATCTATCAAGAACAAATCGATCATCTTATTATCAAAGGTTATGCCAATCTCGTTGACCTCATCCAACCCATGAAGTCTTTCAACTGGTATTTTCAATCTCTTTTTGTTTCCACTGTTTCGTTTTTAGAACTTCACTTTTGTTCATTAGGCATATGAATGGAGAAGAAGTCATTTATTTTCTGATTTTCCTTTTATATTTTCGTTTTGTGAAGTTGAGTCTTTGACATCTTTCATTTTCTTATTTTGTAAATTGAAGCGTCCATCTTCTTAGAAGGCATACTCAATTTTGATATGTATTAATTTTTTCCAATGAATAACCTGTGATCTATTTTTCTCTCCGATGAATTCTTATGATATTGAGCAGTAATTCCATTTATGTACTTGTTCATTCTGTTTTTCATGATTTTAATTACAGTGATAGTTAATTGCTTAGGTGTAATGTGATGATTAATTGCTTTGATTCCTTCATTTTTTGCAATTCAATATAAGATCCTTTTGTTCATTCATTTTTAGTTTCATTCGCCTCATTTAAGAAGAAGACGAAAGGCCCTAATTTTTTGGTAGTGGCTATACAGAGAAGATGGAAGACCCTACTGAGTGTTACAAGTTATATCTATTAGAGCTGCGTTAGAGGCTTAGAGCTTTGGAGTCTCGTATCTGTTAGTTTCCATTGTTATTGGTACAAATGATTCTTCTTTTAAGACTTAAGTTCTTCTATTCTGCTCATTCTATAATAATCTCTTATCAGGTGCTCTTATCTTTAAGGTGCCTGTAAGCCAAATATGTAAAAGTTTACCTCTCAGGTAAAGGTGTAGGTATACAAGTTTTAATATTAGTGTTAAGCCAAATATGGAAAAATATTTTAAAATTAGTATAAATACATCGTTCTCATTCGTAATTTACACATATATTTAGTAGTATCCTCCGTATCATAATAGTTGCAACATTGGAATTTAGACACTATTCATGTATTCTACTTTGACTACATTTTATATATTAATGTATGTGAATTATTATTTTTTTTTGAAAAATATTGTTGAATTCATCTCATTACAAAGTTTCATAATCTGATTTTTAATTTTTTTTCTACTAATAGATAATTAAATATAATGACGGTCAAAGTTGTGCATCGACAAACGTGAAAAAAGAAATGTTGCAACTAAAAAGAACGGAGGAAGTATTAGACATAACATCCCGAGAAAGATATTTCTTAGCTTTCTCTTTGAGGGGAATACAACAGTTTAAAGAAGATCTGTGGCTTATGGAGCTTTATATTGAGGTTTGACGCTTTTTGGCTTATGGAGATTTATATTGACACTTAATCAGATCTGGTGGTGATTATGGCGGTGGTTGTGGTGGTGGTTATGGTGGTGGTTATGGTGGTGGTGGAGCCTATGGAAATGGATCTGAAAACACTACTTCTTACTATGATGACTAAGGCCAGTTTCTTTGTGTTATTGACACTATTTCATGTTTTTGACCACTAACTAAGGCCAGTTTCTTTGTGTTATTATTATTATTACTCTGTATTATTTTATATACCCTATTTAAAATTTGTGATCCTAAACTCTTTAGAATCTCAACAAGTATAGGTGGATGAGAAAGAGTCACTATACTCCACACCAAGTTGGAGATGTTATAAATATCATAAACAGAACTACTCGTCATCTCTTATGGTAATGTCTTTTTGTCCTCCCTTTACGGCTTTACTTCCTTACTCTCTTATTTGCTCTGCCAATGCTTTATTTATTCTTCTATTATAAAATGCCATAAGCTATCCCAGAAATACTTGACTTTGTTTTTCTTGTCTAAAACTTGTCCAAACATAAGTTAGTCCCACTATCTCCTTCCCTCCTGACATAGTAATAAGAGTCAGTAAGTACTAATGTACACTTGTGCACTATGACGTGTTTAACTATTGTGAAGTTAGTAAATGATTTAAGAAGAGATCAGAGAAAATACTGACTGCATTTATGTGTAAATGTAAAGTCTCTTATAGATGTATGGTCTGCAATCCACTTGTCCAGCGCATTTTATTGTCCGAGTTAGCTGCCTCATATATCTGGAGTCAATTGCTTAAAACTTATATTTGAAGTATTAAGTATGCAAATTTAGTAGTCAATTAATTATAGGTGTGCTCACAGGTTATTGATCCTGTCAACAAAAACAGGAGACATAACACAAGCATTCTCATTCGACACCTTGGATCATCTGGAACTTCAAAGATTCTTATAGATGCTGGAATGTATGTACTTGTTTCCACAAGATAGTTATTACTATAATGATGTCTTTGGAGAATTAGAAACACGATATTTTTTTCTTGCTTAATGTGCAGGTTCTACCATAGCTGCTTGAGATGGTTTCGTCTTTATGGGTAAGTTCCTCTTCTTTTAATTTATTATATTAATTTATAATTTATTATATTAGGATCAGTTTACAGATAGTAAATATGCGATGAGATAGTTAAATCTGATGAATATTGATGGTTTGGTTGAAATGTCCTAATGTGTTGAATGAGCTAAATTACCTTAAAGTTATTGTCAAGAGTATTTTTTAAAAATAAATAAATAATTACATTTCTAAATTCTAGCTGCTCTAGGGTTATTTTGGAATCAAAGAGTAAAGTTGTAGAGGTAGTCAATGTTGTTAAAATAGGAGAGATGGAAAAGGAGGAAATTTAGAAAAAGATGATGACAGATAGTTTGTATAAAATTGTTTCTAATGCCACGGTTAGATGGTGCGTTTATTTTTAATAACAATTGCTCATTATTTATTCTATTCTATTATTGCAGATTTTTCTATACAAGCATTGAAGATCAAATGATGAGGATTGGTTTTGGATCAATGTAATAAATAATGGATATCTTGAATCCTTGATACTTTTTGCTTAGTTTAACTTTATGGATTAAAAGTAGTATGATTCCACCAGTGTTTGGTCATTGTGATGTCAGAGTACCTTTAATGTTCTTGAATAATTTAATTATACATTTTAATAAAAAACCGTTTGTTCTTTCCAAGTGATTAGTTTTGTATAATCTCTTATGAAATTAATAGGTGCAATATTAATATTCATTGAATTTGGTGCTATTAGAAAGGAAATTGAAGTTGAGTATCTTGCGACGCTAATTGTGTGCCTTGATAGGTTGATGAAAAGTGCCTCAACTATAGCAACGCTTTTAGAGTTTTATACCGACGCTAACACTTAGCATCGTAAAAAGGGCTAGCGACACAAGCAAAGCCAGCGCTTTTACAAGTGTCAGTAAAAGCACTAGCGACGCTTTTTAGTGTCGCGGTAGGTTTATATAAAGCGCCTTGAGAACCCATTTCTCTACTAGTGACTCTGCCTGCAGATTGACTGCTCCTGCTACGATCACAATATTTCTCAAACAAATTATTGAATATCCCGGTTTGTCCAGCCACTGGTAAGGAGCCAAGCGTAGAATTTTTTCCGGTTTGACCAGCCACTGGAAAGAAAGTACCCCCTCCATGTGATTATATCTTCCTGGAACGGCGGTGATTCTGGAAGGGGGCGATCCGTCTCAATATTGGCGCAGAAGAAAATCGTATTCCTGATTGATGACGAGATCAATGCAAACCTCTTATAAGCACACAAGAACGCTAGACCGAAGATGGCGGGGAATAAACATCTGGCAGATGACATTTCACCACTGAAAATAATATTTCTAGACAACGCTAGAAACGAAACATATAGATAAAATTGAAAACACTGATCAGGAAAATATTTTCCCATTATTTACATGGAAAATTCTTACTAGAAGGAGAATATTATAAATAAGAGAAAGGATCGGAAGACCAACTCATTGAAGAAAACAAAACAATACAGGTGTTGAACAGTTGAAGTACTTCGAAAGTTTGAATAGGCTTGGGATAAGTTGGTTCGGGTTAAAAGTCGATGGAATCGTATTAAAAATTGTAGGTGTTAAATTCGGTTCGTTTCTAGTAAAAATGTACTACGTAGTTGTTAAATTCGGTTTGGTTCCTACACTCTGAATTTTTTCTAGTTCCTTATAAAAAATTATTACTCTCCTAAAATTAACACATTTTATCTTCAGTTACATCGAAATATTCAAATTTCAATTAATGAAAATAATTGTCAAAATTATTACCATTACATTATACATACATGATATAATATCTCAATGTTTAAATATCACAAAAATATACAAGTAAAAAAAATTAAATTTAAACATAACACAAACATAATGGTTAAAATAAGCATCGACGCCCAACGAAAAGGTTTAATAGTCCTATGGTACACATCCCAATAGCACGTAGTTCAACCCAAAAATAGTATACTTATATTAGTATAGATTGCACCATAAGAGCATCTCCAATGGTAAAATGTGCACAGTGCACACGTTACATGAGAAATAGCCACATAAATATTAGTAAATAAATTTTTTCTCTCCTTATTTGAATGGTTTTATACAGTTTTGGTAAGTTTTTCTCCACACTGTCAAGGAGACCGTCTAGATGTTGACATTATTGTTGACATTGCAGGGAAAAACTTACCAAAATTGTATAAAATCATTCAAATAAGGAGAGAAATAATTTATTTGCTAATATTTATGTGGCTATCACTCATGCCACATATGCAACGTGGACATTATAGCATTGGAGATGCTCTAAGTAAAAAGTACATAGTGATAAACTGATTGGTAATATTAGTAATTTACTATAAATACATAACGGCGTAATAAACAACAACATTAATTCATTTTTGAGGTGGGCTCAAATAACAAATACGATTACAAACAAACACTAAATATAAAAGTGGATTCACGTAGTAAAATAACAACTACACGGATTGGCCAGAAAACAATATATAAGATATATTATGCAAGACAAATGTTCCCATCAAGAATCTCTCGACCTGAATGTCATCTAGCCACATCCATTTTAGGTGTTTCCGGGTAAATTTTTTTGATGATATTTTATGAGCATGTTCTACATGAAGTGTAGATTCCACCAAATTTCAGCTTAAAATTCAATCGGAAAGTGAGTTAAATAGATTATTAAAAAATATTGCGCTTTTATATATATTTTTGCGTAATGTTTTTCAATAATTTATTTAACTGACTTCCCGGTTGATTTTTTAGCTGAAATTTGGTGGACACAATTTATATTTCAGAATAACCAAGCTCACAAAATTTCATAAAAAAAATCTACCCGAAAACACCTCAAATGAAGCCTAATTCCCCCGAAATCTACCCGAAAACACCTCAAATCTACCTGAAATTTGACAGGTTATTTGACAGACAACAGGGAATTGCCCCAAATCTACCCGAAAACACCTCACAAGTATGCATATTTACTGTTTTATTAATAATAAAATTAGTACTTTGCTATTAATAAAATAAATGTTATTAGAAATTATAGGAGGATAAAATGGTAAGAGGAAGCCTAATTTACTCTGGTTTAGGAATAAAATATTATAGTCAATTGTTGCATTTTGGAGTCATTATTTAAAACTAAATGATTATGTATATATTTTATTGTTTTACATTTCAAAATGAGGAGATATATAATAACTTTATACTTATAGGTTCATATTCATCACAAAAAAATTACGTGATTCACACGAACTTGGCAGGGATTGACTGACGATTTTGTGCCAAATAGCTCATGCCAAAATGATTTTAGCACAGATTTAACATATCCTTGCTAAATCCTCTATAAATTTTAACAAATCTTATAAAAAATTCCTATCAATCCTGTCACTTTTTTGTAGTATATTTATTCTTAAAGGCAATAAATTGAGTCATTGTAGTCGGACTCTATTATGGATTTCTTACTAGATTCAATTCTCTACAAGCTAAGGTCGGTTTACGATTTATCACTTTTTCTTTGAAGTAATTAATTAATTTATGGTTAATGTTGATGCTCTTTTTCATTAAAATTTTCAATCTTACGTTTTTGTTTTATTATTTAAAGTGCCTGTTAAATTTGACAAAGTTATAATGAACAAAGAACTACTACCTCCGTCCCGAATTGATTTGGAAATTTGACTTTTCTTAGTCAAACAGTTTCATTTTGTTCACTTAATTAGTATGCCTATTTTTAATTGCATTCTAATTTGGGGTTTACAACTTTGAAGAGATTTTGATATAGTTTATGAATATGTAGATTTTAATTATTAAAAAATGAATTAATTATGCATGGGGAGGATTGACTTTTATTATTGATTGACCAAAAAATGTTGATTTTGCAAACCAAATTGCGACGGAGGAAGTATATTAATGTCATCCAAAAAACAGAACCACGGAGTATATTAATGGGGAAATGTGTAAATGAAGAAGTGTAAGGATCCGATCGGAGAAGTGTAAAAGTCTCATGATATGATAATCATCCGAAAAGATCCTGTCCAGACGGAAAGACAGGATCCTCCGTCCGGCCGCCACCGTTTCCGGTGAAGGTTTTTGATGAAATTTTTATGGAATGTTCCTCATCAAGTCTAGTTTATCCACACAAAAATTCAGCTAAAAATTCGATCGGGAAGGCAGTCAAATAATTTTTTGAAACATAACTGTGTTTTATATGTTTAATTTGACACAGTTATCTTCAAAACATTATTTGACTGCCTACCCGATCGAATTTTTAGCTAAATGGAGGAGGCCGGATGGAGGGTCTTGTCCCTCCGGCTGGACATAATCATTCATATATATATACACACTTTTGTAATTTATTGTTTGATTTTTTTCATCATATGGGTCGGTGTCAAACCATGCATTTCGGATGGCATGTAGGGGAAGAGTCAAGAGTCAGCATGAGTATCTTCATCTAGTAGATTAGTCATGGACCCGGTTCGGGCCGCCCGGCCCGGGCCGCTACTGTGCGGAATCGGAACCGGCCCGGTTATCGGGTCCGGGTCCGGGTCGGGCCTAGGCCCGGTGGGGGGCGGGACCGGGCTCGGGCCTTGTGTTTGCCGAACCGGTCCGGCCGGGTCGGGCCCGGGTCCGGGCCGAATTGATTTTTTTTTTTTTCATTTTTTGGGGTTACCCGGGTTGGGCTTGATGGTTGGGAGGGGTGAGGGGGGGTTAGGAAAGCAAAAAAACAAATGACCAAACCGGAGGCCCGACCCGGACCAGACCCGGTGGCTACCCGGGCCGGTCCCGGGCCTTCCTTCCAAAAAAAAAGCCCGGCCGGGCCCGGGTCCATAACTATAGTAGATATGTTCCATGTTTTATGTTCCAATATGCTTAATAGTTCTATTGTTTGCTTTCAAGATATACTTAGGGGGTGGTTGGAATTGATTTTGCTTCTGCTTCTTTTCTAAAAACAGAAATAGAATTAGAACCAGTTTTTCAGAAGCTGGTCTCTCTTAACTTCTAAAAAAACTGCTTCTAGGAGCATTTTGGAGCACTCATGAGTATTTCTGCACTTTCATCAAAACATTCATATATCTGATTCAACTCTTTGAAGCAGAAACAGTTTTAAGAAGCAGATCCAAACACCCCTTCAATATCATTTACACAATTACACGGTATTGCCGTATTGATCATGATGATATGTCTATTAATTGAAAGTTTAACTTTATCAGATTCTTTATCATTTAATTCATTAATTGAAAGTTTTTTTTCTTCTTCTCGAAAACACTTAATCAAGAGCTCTAACTACATGATTAAAGGGAAAATGGAAACTAATAATCCAACCTTTTAGTGGTCTTCTTATAATAGTCCCATCTTTTGATTATTCATGAATAATCCAACCTTTGCACCTCATCTTCATTCACTGGTCCCTGACCGGTTGATGACCTGTTATTCCAAGTTATTTTCTTATCTTTGTAAACATTATACCATAAATCTCACCTTTCACAAAGATAATATTTTGTAAAGATAAGAAAATAACTTGGAATAACAGGTCATCAATCGGTCAGGGACCAGTGAATGAAGATGAGGTGCAAAGATTGGATTATTCATGAATAATCAAAAGGTGGGACTATTGTAAGAAGACCGCTAAAAGGTTGGATTATTAATTTCTATTTTCCCTATAGT